TTCTTCCTTGTGCTTTGGCTTCTCTACGCTCCAGTGCAATCTTCAGAGTTTCTTCTGACATCCATTTTGGTCTTCTCCTCCTCTTCTGTCTTTGCAATGACCGTTTGCACTCTTCTTGGATGATACCCTTGATATCCTCCCATAACTCATCTGTTCTTTACTCATTAGGGTTCAGGGCCTCAAACCTGTTCCTGAGATGGTTCTGAAATTCAGGTGGGATAGACTCAAAGTCATATTTTGGTTCCTGTGGATTTGGTTTAATTTTCCTCAATTTCAGCTTGAACTTGCATATGAACATACATATTCTTAAGCTGAAGGAATTGAGAAACCGTTTCAAGCCATAAGTGGCACTACTTAAAGATGCCTTGGGCAGAATGTTAAATGAACTAAGAAACATTGAAAGAAGATGGAAGAAGTATACAGAGTCACTGTACCAGAAGGAATTGGCTGACAAAGAAGAATTTCTTGAAAAACATGAGCAAGAGCCGTGGTGATGAAGGAGGAAGTTCAAGCTGCTCTGAAAGAATTGGCAAAAACAAGGCCCCAGGAGTTGACGGCATACCAATTGACATTTCTACAAACCAATGCTGCCCTGGATATGCTCACTAAGTTGTGCCAAGAAATCTGGAGGACAGCCAGCTGGCCAGCTGACTGAAAGAGACTGATATTTTTTCCCGTTCGAAAAAAGGGTGACCCAGCAGTGTAGAGATTATTGACAATATCATTACTATCACACACAAGCAAGATTCTGCTGAAGATTATCAAAAAATGACTGGAACAACATGTCAACAGAGAGCTGCCAGTGTTCAGGCAGGGTTTAGAAGAGGCCGTGGTACTAGTGATATTATAGCTAATGTTAGATGGATCTTGGCTGAAAGCAGAGAGTACCAGAGGAATGTCTATCTGTGTTTCGTTTGACTATAAAAGGCTTTTGACTGTTTTTCAAAACCTAGAAGAATGGGAATTCCAGAACATTTGATGTGCTTATGTAAAACCTATACTCGAACCATGAGGCAGTCGTCAGAAGAGAACAAGGAGACACTGCATGGTTCAAAATCGGAAGGGTATCCACCAGGGATGTATTCTGTCTCCATACATTTTCAGTCTCTATATAGAACAGATCATCCTGGATGCCGCGCTGTACCAGGAGTAATGTGACATCAGGATTGTAGAAAGATTCAACAACCAGGCTTACTGAAACTGAGGAGGACCTGAGTGCTTGCTGCAGAAGGTCAAGGACTGCAGACTTCAATATAGATTGAAGCTCAACATCAAGAAAACAAAGATTCTCCCACTGGGTCAATTGGCAACATCATTATGGATGGTTGAGATTGAGATTTTTAACAGTTTTAGTTTGCTTGGCTCCACAGTCAGCACTCTTGGTACCAGCAGCCAGGAAATCAAGCAACTAATTGCATTGGGAAAGTCATCAGTCAGTGACCTCTCCAGAGTACTGAAGAGCAACAACATCAGGCTGGAGACTAAGGTGCGCCTGATAAAGGCCATAGTCTTCACAATTGCATGCTGTGTGTCAACTGGACAATGACTGGGGATCATAATGTATTGATGCCTTTGAGCTGTGGTGCTGGAAAAGAGTGTTGAATTTACCGTGGACTGCTAGGAGAAAAAACAGATTTGTCCTGGAGAGGGTGAAGCCAGAATGCTCCATGGAGTCAAGGATTCTGAATCTTCATCTGACATACTTTGGGCATGTTGCAGGGAGGGACCAATCCTTAGAGAGGGACATCATGTTTCGGAGGGTGGAGGGACAGCGCAAGAGAGGAAGACCCTTGGTGAAATGGATCAATTCAGTGATTGGGGTAATAGGGTTAGGTGTGTTGGAGACAGGTTGGCACAGGACAGAACAGGGTTTAGGTCTTTTGTACAAAGATGCTATGAGTTGCAAGCGACTCAATGGCATGTAAGAACAACAACATGTGTTATTATGTATGATGGTTAAAATGTAATGTTGCATAACTACCTGTCATGTGCCGGCATTGTTCTATGTATTTTATGCCCAGTTATCCATCTATTTCTTGCATTATCGCCATCAGGAGAGAACTGTTACCTTCATTTTACTGATGAGAAAACGGAGACACACAGATAATGACTGACTCTCTGGTTATTGTGGACTTGACTCTGACTCATCAACATCATGTGTTTATAATAGAACTCCATAGGGTTTTCAAGGCTGTGACCTTTCAGAAGCAGATCACCAGGCCTTCAGCCAGCCCTTCACTTAATAGTGATCTCTTCATTGTTTGCAACACCAGTTACTCCTGAATTGAAGGGCAGAACTAGGATTTGAGTCCATCTGAGTTTTAAGGCACAAGCTCACTTTTTAAATGTGAAATTATAAATAAGTAGTGTTGCCTTTTAGAACTCTCCCCCTCTTTTTTTTTTTTTTTATGGAGACAAGGACTATGTAGACTTACAAAAGAAAGTGTCTGGATGAATGAACAATTTGGGTTTCAGGACTTTAAAAATCATGAGTAGAATAGTTGTATTTGGTGTTTCAACAGATGTCAGAAAACATCCGAAGGGTTATTGTGCAAGTAGATATCATTGGCTATTTTTCACAAAATTGGAAACTACAGTGAAACTATATTTTAGGAAAGTCAAGTCAGCAAAGGTAAGTTATACTGTTTGAGAACTGTTCATTTGTTGTACATTATGTCAGAAAACAGTTTACTTCACTATTGACCAAAATATTCACCAGTGTTTGTAGCAGCGCTATTCACCATAACAAGACTGTGGGAACAGCCCAGGTGTACAACCGCAATTGACTGGATTGAGGAATTATGGTACATTCACATGATGGGATACCACACAGCATGTAAGAGCAATGATTATGAAAATCACTACCTAACTTGGAAAGATTGGAGAGCATTATGTTGAGTGAACCAACTCAGTCCTATAAGGACAAATCCTACATAAGGCCATTTACTGCAAAATGTTTATAATTTGCCATTTGATTCAAACCAGTTAGTTTACTGTGTACCGTCAAGTTGGAACCAATCCATGACTCACTCCCTGGTGAGTTTTCAGAGGCAGTTCACTGCTCAGGAGGAGATTGTCCATGTATCTCTTACGGAACAGCTGATAGATTCAAACCACATGCCTTCCCCATTGAAGTGCAGGTTCTTATCACCAGGCCACCAGAGTTCCCTTGTTAGTTTATTAGGCAGGAACAATATACGGGTCTGTTGGCTTACCTTGGTTTTATGGTTACAGCCTGAAGTTACATTGGAAAAGATAGGTACATTTATTTTGGGACTTACAAGCCAGGGTCAAACAGCTTCTGTAAACCAAAAAGCCCAGTGCTGTCAAGTCAGTTATGATTCAGTGATCCTATACAGCAGACCAGGACTGCCTTATAGGGGTTTCAAGACTTTGCAGATGACATCTGCCACATCTTTCTCTTTGATCATACTGGAGAGTTCTGTCAATGGATGTTTCAGCCGAGAATCAAGCACTTTACTCCACCACTAAGTCTCCTCCATACGTGGCTGTTACTACAGCTCAAGGGCAAGTTCTGTTGGCAGAAGCTTTCTCGTCTTAGCTGAATGTAGTTTGCTTACAGTCAGAGAAAATAGACTATATATCTTAGTAGTTACTGAAAAATTTAGACTTGTCACTAAGGGAGTTAAATACAAATTTTAGACTTTTAGATGTAAACCTATTATATTTGATGATAAAAGCCCCCTTTAAAAGTCTAATCAAGGGCTTGTAGGTGCTCTGCAGGTTAGGAAATGATAATAGATTAAATGTTGTAACTTTATCTTCCTTTAGCAAGAAAGAGTCATGATGTCAAAATATGCATGAAAATCGTCTTCTGGCTTATTGGAACCAAAATGTTGAGTGAAGATACTTTTATGACAAAAGAACATTTTAATAGCTCCATTAGTTTTGTTTTCGATAAGACAGCACAATGTCCTTTGCTGAAGAGTCAAGCACAGCCAAGATGGTGTTAATAGCTCACCTACTAACATTTTTTAAAAGAGCTAACATTTTCAAGGGGAGAAGAAAAGGTATATGTATCTCCAAAAGGAGTCTAAATATTCAAATTTATACACTCAGGTTTATAGACCATCAAAGACTGTATTCACAACTAAAACAAACCAGGACAAAAGCAGAGATGTCCATAGCTGGCATTTTAATTTTTCAAAAGCTTATCTAAAGGAAACAGACTTCTCACCTAGTACCTTTAACCTAACAAAATGTGGATATGTGATTTTCCTCCATCAAAGGGTGTACACCTCTGATTTAATGGAATAAAGAGAAGGACTGCTCTGGGGAGGCAGCCAAGATTCAATGGGACTTGACTTTAAGGCGGCAGCATTGCCAAACAGTTCTACTTCGCAAATGACATCGAATGTCACAAACAGACCTTGGGTCAGACCTTTTAGGGGAAAAGAGTAAAATCAGCATGCACCACTGTCAAATTTAAAGTGGCCCCTAAGCTCAGTCAAGGGCATTTTCCATCAGGGATTTTCTCAGCAGGCCAGAAACTGCTGGGGGGAAACACTTAAGCTTCTGCAACAACAAAAAGCTTTTCCCCCTCTAAATCTGGTCTAAATTAGTGATCTTAATTCTAAATGTTTACATGTATGGTTATAGCATAAAGAAATATGCTGAAAGGTAGGGACAGGTTCTCTGAACTTTTGAGTTCTGTAACAAGTACCTTATTTGAGGAGTTTACAAACCTCATGACCAGCCTCTTCTGGAGAATGGAAGAGACCAAAGCGTCCCAGCTTTGGTCTTTAATGCTTGGAGAGGCTGACTTTCTTACAAAGAAGGAATGTGCACTTGTCATGGCGCCAACAGCACTCTGCCCTGTGGGTGAGATTCAGTTGGCCAGGCATTTTTCCTTGGTGTGATTCATAGCATTTTACCTGACTTCCTTCAGCTGCTTGGCAGCACATGACTGAGTAATCTCATCCTAATGGAAAAGTCTCCAGAAGATGCTGGAGTTGGCATTAATCTAGAACTGAAGCTCCTCAGGAATTGATAAGAGCAATCGGAGGAGGTGAGGCAGGCGGTTGCTGCTCTGGGAGTTCTTCGTTTGTCAGCGCATAGCGCCTGGCTTTCCTGGGGTCAGGCTCTGGCGTGTCCTCTGCCCACCTTCCCACACGGCGCACACCTTTGGCCACCTTGGGTGCGTTTCTGCAAGGATTGTGGTCATAGATGACCAACTTAAGGCTTGACAGGTGGGCCAGACTGGGGAAGTAATGGATACTGTTCCGGTCCACATCGATCACCTCCAGATAGGGCATGTGTAGCAGCACTGGGGGGAAGTCGGTCAGCTGATTGCCTGAGAGCCAGATGGTCCTCAGCTCCTGGAGACGCTGCAGCCGCCCTGGCAGCAGGCGCAGAGCATTGGAACCCGCGTGCAGAGTCTTGAGGAGGCTCAGCTCACAGACCACATCTGGCAGCTGGGTGAGGCAGTTGGCCTCGATCCACAGGGTCTGGAGGTTCTGAAGCAGGCTCAGCTCACTGGGAAGGTCACACAGTTTGTTGTTACCCAGATAGAGGATACAGAGCTGCTTCAAGGTACACACCACCTGGGGCAGAGTCTTGAAGTTGTTGAAATCCAAGGCGAGGATTTGCAGGTTCTGCAGCTGGCCCAGCTCCGGAGGCAGACTGTTGAGGTGGTTGTCACTCAGGTAGAGCTTGACCAGCTCCCTAAAGGAGCACACGTGTCCGGGGAAGCGGCGCAGCTGGTTCCCACTGAGATCCACCATCTTGTCCAGCGGCATCTCCCGGAGGTCGCCCACCACGTAGTTCTGGCAGCGGTCCGTGGGAATGAAGGCCACAAGGGACCTGACGATGTTCCCCATGTGGAGGCCTAGGCCTGCAGAGCCCAGGCAACTGGCTGAGACTGGCCTGCACACTGATGGGAGGCCTGTCCCACCCTCTCATTATAACCTGGGCTTTGTGTGACAACAGCCGGTCATTTCAACAGAGAAAAGTGCCCCTGATAGCAAGTTGAGTGTCAGGTGACAGTTGCAACAGACCAGCAGAGATGCAGAGGCCACTTCGGACACATATTTGCCTTCAAGCACCTAAGGCCCAATCGCCTTTTATCTACATTTTTCATTTCAAGCTGAAAATAGCTTCACTGCTTTTTCTGATGATGAAACACTGAAGTTATTACTGAAAGGTGTAAAATAATAAAGTGAAAGTCACCCCTAGTGCAGTCACACAGAGGTGCTGTAAATAATTTGCAAATAATTTCATTTAAATTTTTTAAACCAAAAAATACTAAGGAGCTTTATTTTTTCCATATATCATTGGCATAATTTTATGTTGGCAGCTACCTATATGACATTACATAGTACTCCTGCACTTATATGGATGTTCCTTATATGGATGTGTGTGTAAATTGCTGATGATTTTTTTACTACTAAAACTATCCTTGTACATACAGATGTGAGCAATTAATTGTCTATTGATTTCTTCACAGAATATCTTTAGAAGCGTTACTGAGTCAAGGACTTGAATTCATTGACATTTTCACTTCTCCATCCCCACCAATTGTTGCTTGCAGTAGACAAACACCCACTAGCAGTGGCTGCAGGAGTCTGCTTTCGCATTTCTAGGCAATCTTTTTCAACACTTTAAAAACTAACCTTTGGGAAAAGGTAAAAACAGAAAATCAGAAGAGAAGTAGAAAGCTAAGCTTCTACCAAATAAATGGGGGTGTGATCCTGTAGCACCCGTGTAGATAGGGTTAACAAAACCTCCAAGTTGGGTGCTTCCCTTCTGTAGTGTCAAAGGATGTTTGGAATGCAGCCGTCTGCCTGGGACACTTCCTAATCCTAGGCTGGGGCCGGGGCTGGGAGGTGTCTTATGATTTAGTTCTGGCCTCAGGAATGTTGGCACAATGATATATGTCATTTCAAGGCCTGGCTCATTTAAAGCAAACAGACCTCTCGCCCTTCTCCACACGCTCTCTCCCCATGTGCTGGCTGGCTGTGACACCCAGGGTGACCTTAGAAGCCAAATGTGTGGAAGCCACATGTTGAAGCTGGCAGGACTTCAGTTAACCTGGACCCTGAAAAAGTGCCGGGAGCAGTACCTCTCCAGCTCGCTCTCCCTCTCTCTCTCCCACCAATTGGATTTACATGACTGGGGGGGGGGGCACAAAACAAGCAGAAAATCCCCATTTAAATTATTTAAGCTATTGAGATTTTGAGGTTCAGGTCTTATATTACCTTGGTGATTAGAGCAACTGTTAAATAAAAGGTAAATGAATATACACTGATATGCAAAGATACTGAGGATAAATAAGATGTGGAAGCAAGTTTCAAAACTTTTTTAAGATTCTATTGTTTTCAGTTTGATAATGTAAACTCAAATTGGTAGCAAATGGAATCGCAATATATATTGTATGTACCACTGACTTGGAACCATCTCATAGCTGAGCATCGCCGATGTCATAGTGGACTATCAGACAGAGGCAGTGAATCGCACAGGAGGAGATTGCCCCTCTTTCCCCCTCAGAACAGCTGAAGGATTTGAACCTTATGGCTGTGGCTCGGCAGCACAACTCCTTCCCACTAAGCCACCGGAGCTCAGTATGTACTTAGGACTAAATAGAAGTGGCTTTGTCCTATCATGAGCTCAAGAAGGGTCATTCCAAGGAAGACTCACAGAAGTTATTCACAGTCTTCAAAAGGGTCGGTGCAGGGTTGGGAACACCCAGGAAGGCATTCACATTTGCTAGGTAGAATGAGCTCTTTTTTTGTACTTTCCAGAGAGCAGTGACAAGGAAGGAGCTCGGGGTTTTCCCTGAGACCCCAGCCTGCACTGGAAGAAGGTGCTGAGGCTGCTCTGTGGAAGAGTCCTGGGCTGGATTCCAGAGAAGTCTCCCAAAAGTCTGTTAAGTTAACTCCATTCTTTTTGTTAATTCAAAAGCAACTGCTGTGCTAAGACCGTTGTTCTGAAAAGGGGCTTCAACACTGTGCTGTAAAATGGGATGCAAACACTAGAGCAATCCATCATCTCACAAAGCACAAACCCAGATGAAAATGGTTACTAACATAAAGGTTGATAGTTAAACTTACCTGATGGTACCTCAAAAGAAAGCTTTGAGGATCTGCCTCCATTGAGACTAAGATGTATGAAAACATTATGGAGCAGTTTTATTCTGTAAGACAAAGGTCTCTATGAGTGCAAATTAATTCAATGGCAAGGGATTTGTCTCCTCCCTCCCCCTCTGCCCCCCAGTGGCAATTTTGTTCCCCAGGGAACATTTGCCAATGTTTGAAAACAGTTTTGGCTGTGACAAAAGAGAGTGCCCATGGTATCTGTGGGCTAGGGACCAGGAATGCTGCTAAACACAGGATAGCCAACCACCACCTGCAACAAAGAGCTATCTAGTCCCAGATGTCAGTAGGGTCACGGTTAAAGCACCCTGGGCTACAAGGATGCCAGGGAGTTTTGGTGGTGTAGTCGGTAGGGAGTTGCACTGCTATCCCAAAGGCAGTGCCTTTCTGGCAGTTCAAATCCACTAGTGGCTTTGTAGGAGATTGATGGGCAATCTCCTCCCATGTGATGTACAACCTCCGAAAACCTGCTGGAGGGTCAGTCAAGAATAGGTTTTGACCTGACAGCTTTGAGTGAGTGAATAATACTCATGCCAGTCATTCCTTCAAGGAAATGCATCACTGTGAAAATGTGCGTACTACTAGTATTTTATTTGATTGAGTAATGAATTGCATTAGATAAATCTGCTGTCAGTCACCTTTCCAGAGTACTGAGAAGCAAAAATATCATTCTAGAGACTAAGGTGTGCCTGATCCAGGCCATAATCTTCACCATTACTTGCTATGCATCAGAGAGCTGGACGATAAGTAAGGATGCCAGAAGAATAATTGATGCCTTTGAGTTGTGGTGCTGAAGAAGAGTCTTAAACATACCATGGACCGCCAAGAAAACAAATAGCTCTGTTGTGGAAAGGGTGAAATTAAGTTTCTCCTTGGAGGCCAGGACTTTGAAGCTCTGTCTCTCATACTTTGGGCATATGGCCAGGAAGGATTGAAACTTGGAGAAGCACATCATGCTTGGAATGGTAGAAGGACTGCACAGGAGAGGAAGACCCCGGATGAGATGGATCGATACAATAACTGGGGCATTGGGGATATGTGTGTCAGAGTCAGTGAGATTGGCTCAGGACAGGACAGGCTTCAGAGCTGTTTTACATAGGGTCGCTATGAGTTGCAGGCAACTTGACAGCACATAACCACAAACAACAAATGGAGTAAAATAGGTGGGAATTTTTTTAGCCTTAGGGAAGCTTTTCTTAAATTTAATAAACCAGGAAGGGAAACTAGTATAGATATAACTCATCTGATTGTATTTTAAAGAATTCCTCTTGGCAATTTTAGTATTTCTAGGTCTTTCTGATTGCAGAACAGATTATCAATTACTGAACACCAAGTTTAAGTTCAGATTGAGGCTGAAGAAAATGAAAACAAGCCCAAAAGAAGAAAATATGATTTTTTAAAAAATAGTATTTATTATTTTTTTCATTGTTGAACATTTTTCCCTTCCCTTTTCCCCCAATCCACCCTTGTAATACACCCCTTGTTCCACATTGTTGTCATACAAATAATGCTAAATTGTATATTCCTTTCGAAGAGTTCTTCCCCTCACCTGTTCTGATCTATCTCTTCATTATCTATCCACTATCTAACTGTTCTATTACCTATTACCTTGTTTAATTATCCATCTATCTGTTCAATATCTATCCATTCTTCTTCTATTCTCTTTCCACAACCCCCCCCCCCCCGCATTTATCTTTTTGGGACTGAGATATTTCACTGAGCATAATGTCCTTCAGGCTCCCCCATGTTATGTAATGTTCAATGAGTTCATTGTTTTCAATGCTGCATAATATTCCACTGTGTGAATATACCATAGTTATTCTCTTCATTCGTTAATGGGTGCTTGGATTGCTTCCATCTCTTTGCTATTGTGAATAATAATAGCAATAAACATGGATGTGCATTCATATATTTGAGTTGTGGCTCTGGTTTCTTTAGGATATATTCCCAGTAGTGGAATTGCTTGGTCAAATTATATTTCTATTTCCAACTTTTTGAGAAAGGGCCAGACCACTTTCCATAGTGGTTGTAACATTTTACATTCCCACCAGCAGTGAATAAGAGTTCCAATCACCCCACAACCTCATAAGCATTTGTTGTTTGCTGCCCTGTTGAACTTTGATATTGTTTCTAGGGTGAGACAGTATCATGTAGTTGTTTTGATTTGCATCTCTCTAGGGATTTTGAACATTTCTTCATATGTTTGTTTGCCATCTGAATGTGTTCTTTCAAGTAGTGTCTTATCCATATCCTGTTCCCATTTTGTGACTGGATCGTTTACCTTTTTCTTGTTGAGATGCTGGAGTATTCTACAAACTTTAGATATAAATCCCTTATCAGATATATGATTGTTGTTATTGTTGTTGTTAAGGGCTGTATTCTACAAACTTTAGATATAAATCCCTTATCAGATATATATGATTGTTGTTGTTAAGTGCTGACTCATAGCAACCCTATGAAGGAGAGTCCTCAACGCTTGGGTGTCTTTCATCCTCTCTCCAGGTTCATAGGGTTTCCGGAGGCAAGCTATTATGGAAGTGGATGCCACTCCTTCTTCCAGCTTGTTTTAATTGGGGAGCTCCACCCCACTCTCTGTCCCATTGGGTAACCAACCATTAACACATTTGACACATCATTGTCACAGTGTTCAGCCTCACAGCAACCACAAGTTACTGCTGTACGGCAACTTGTACACCAGGGCTATAAGACCTAGAGGAATTTCTGAACAA